GGGGAGGGGCGCAGAGCTAACCCAGCTGGCAGCAGCCTTTCCTAAACACCCAAAGGGCTGTGAACCTTTGGGTCCAGGTAGATCATGCTTTGAGAGATATCATGGCACCTTCAGCCTCTGTGTCTCTGGACCCCACTGGCTCACCGTGCACCTCCAGGTGATGCTCCTTGCTGCTGCTGCCAGCGGCATTCCTGCACTCGCAGGTGTAGATCCCCTTGTCCACCAGCTGTACCTTCTCAATGTAGAGCATCCTCCCTCCTGCAGATACCAGCTTTGGGCTCCCAGGTTGGGCAGAGAGGGGCTCACCTGCCGGGGAAGGAGACAACAGCCTCTCTCAGGTTACCATCAGGACCAGTTCCCACCCAGAAGCTGGATGCTGCCCAGCATGAAGCACTCCTTGTTCTGAGGAGACCAACATCTGTCTGGTGGGTCAACACATGTGTGGGGAGGGATGAGGCTGAGGAGCAGGACCCTACCGTCCTTCAGCCAGCTCAGGGTGGGGAAGGGGATCCCGTGGCACTCGCAGGGCAGCCTGATGGACTGCCCCTCCAGCACAGACATGGTGTGAGGCTCTGCTGAGGAGAAGGATGGCGGCACTGCAGGGGGCAAGAGGAGAGGAGCAGCTCATTAATGGCACTGGATAAGAGGAGAGGGGCAGCTCCCCTCTGGAGCTCTGTCCTGCTGGCTACACACCACCCACAGCTCCGCTGGGCTTCACACAAAGAACCAGCAAGCCTCCCCTGCACTGGCTCCATGTGGAAACAATAATCTTGAGACTCTCCAGCTATTAAGCAAATGATGCTTTTAATTGCACGTGGCCTACAGCAGAGGAGGACCAAGCATCCCGCGCCAGCCCCACAGGCAGGCCAAGCCCAGGTTGGCCAGACACAGCCTTATTAGGTAGCACTGCTCCCTGGGAAGGTTACCTAACTCTTTCCATTATCGGATGCTGTTCTCAGTTGCTCATAAATACAGCTGGCTGGAAAACGGTAACTCCTTCCCATGAGAGATATCAGTTTGTAGAAGAAAAAACCCAACACCCAGAAACCCCAGAAAAACAAAAACAGCAGAACCCAAACAATCCGCCCGAGCCAGGAGGCCAGACGTGCAAACATTTCCCTGGGAGGGGATCGCAGGAACAAGCCTGGAGCAGGAGAACTGGAATTTCTCCACTCCCTGGCTACCTGCCTGCAGGACTTCCACCAACTGGCCTCAAGCATTCCCGAGAAAAGCCAGACCCTGGCTCGGCCTCCGGCGTTGTGGACATGCTGAACGGGCCGGGAGGCTGCAAGGATGCTCGAATCGAGTGAGCAAAGGCAGCCAGTGCCCATCCCAGCAGCAGCCCAGGAACCACCACTGGCATCCTCCTGACTCAGGCAGGGGCAGAGCCAGGGAGGACAATGTCTGCAGCAGCTTCCAGGGTGCCCGAGTGCAAAGAAAGCACAGAGGAGCCTTGATGATGGCAAGGAAATCCCTTCACTTTCCTGCCCACATTTTGGAGAGGCTCTTCTTCTGCATCATCACGGAAATCTCACCCCAAGACTCAGACAAACATTGGCTTTTTTCTCCTCTGACATCCATTCTGGTGGGGATTCCCGACTACCTCCAGGTCCAGCGTCTTGCAGAACTCTAATAATTTGGGCTTAATGTTTTCCAAGCCAGTCAACTACCCCAGGTAAACATTATACATATAAATAAGTGGTATATAATATAGTATATATACTTGTGTATATATATACACACACATACACACTCTCTCTCTAAATATATTTATATAAGTGTGTGTATTTGCCCCTGATGGGCTCTTTCAGCCACAGCAGCCCTTACCCCACACGTCGAGGTTGTAGTGTCTCTCCAGGTGGCCCGGTCCATGGCACGTGTACCTGCCCGCATCCTGCAGGGCAGCTTGCCTGATCTGCCAGGGCAAGCAGAGGCACTAAGATGCTGTCCCTTCGTAGGGACAGGGTCAGGATGAGAGGTGGGAGCTGGGACACCTCCCAGGGGCAGACAGGGGGGAGACGGGGGTTCTTAAATGACCTGATTCCCCTCCCATCCTCTGAAACGTCACCTGGAGCACAGTCCCCTCCACAGACAGCTCCATGCCCGGCTTTGGTGTGAGCAAGACCCCGTCCTTCAGCCAGCGGGACCCCTGAGGGGGGACCCCAGGGACTGTGCATTCCAGTGTCACTGGGTGGTTGATGATGACAGAGATGTTCTCCTCCTCACCCATGGCGGTGAGGGGCACTGGAAAACAGATCAAAAAAGGCAACACCTTCCCTGAGCCACCCCCTTTGGTACCCTTCCCTCCCCAGGGCTGGTCCCCCACAGCCCCACACGCTTGCAAGGGGGACAACAGAATGGCCCCATAGTCCCGAGCATCACATCCAGCCCCACAGCCGCCCTGGTGGGAAGGGGCTGGGGATGCACAGGGGTACTTACACCTCACCTCGAGGGCAACCTCACATCTGTCCTCCCCCACGGCACTGCTGGCTACACACGTGTATGTCCCCGAGTCCTGGAGGCGAGCAGCAGGCAGGGACAGCACGCGCCCATCGGAGAGGATCTGTGCTCCCCCAAGGAGCAGAAAGAGCCCAGATGAGCACAAAACCAGAGAAACTCACAGGCAGCTGGTCTGCAAGCCACCATGCAGGAGCAGGGATGGGGGGCATAAGCCTGCCTTGAACCTGTCCTTGGCATGCCCCAGGTACCCTCTGCCCATCCATGCCCTTCGTGGCAGAAAAGCCCAGCTCAGAGCTGAGCAGGCCCATGCTCCCATGGACCAAACATGGGGCAGGTCTGGGCAACATTGGCCCTGCTCAGCTCCAGCAATTTGTTTTTTAAAAGTCAGAATAAGAAAAAGGAGCATCATCCTGGTGGGATGTCCCCACTGAGCCCCCCCCTCCACCAGGAGCTGTCTCACCTCTGGGCCACCGTCTGCCATGCTGGGCACTGGATTGCCATCCTTCAGCCACAGGAGCACAGGAGCTGGGGTCCCTGTAGCATCACACTCCAGTGTCACCAGGTCATTCACCATCACTGCAAGGGGACTGGGACCAGCTGTGATCCGAGGGGGCACTGAAGGAGGGAGCAAAAATATGTCACCAGGAGCAGCAGAGTGCAAAAGGGACAGGGTGGGTAGGAGACACCACGGTGTGGACCAGGCAATACTCATCCATGGGGCCGTGGTTTTCTAGGACATTATTTGGAATGAACATGGCTGGAATTGAAAACGGGGCAGAGAACAGGGGCTCTGCTAAAGCCATTTTCCAGGAATGTGTCCCAAGGCTGGGTCCCATGTACACACGAGATGCTGGAGGATGGAAGCCCCCAGCTCTCAGGCAGCCCCAGCCCTTCCCCTGCTTGGCGTGGACTCACCAGTCACCTGCAGGCTGTACCAGAGCTCGGTGACACCGGCCACGTTGGAGGCCACACAGTGGTAGCTGCCAGCGTCAGAGAGCTGGGCACGCTGGATCTCCAGGTGCTTCCCATCCCTGGAGATGGTCCAGCCTGGTCCAGCCGAGAGCTGCTCGTGCCCCTTGTACCAGGTGATGTCTGGAGGGAAGCAGGAAGCCAAGCGGTGAGGAGCTGCTACCCCAGTCACCAAGGGGACCCAGGGAAAGCCCCATGGACTTGAGCAAGAGCTGAGGGAGAGAACGGACTCACCAGGAGTAGGCAGCCCTGAAGCCAAGCACTGCAGCGACGCCGTGCCATTCTCCAGGACGACCAGGTCCACCACACTGGGCTCAATGATGGGAGGTACTGCAACCCAACACACACAGTCATTGGCTCTGTGTGGCCCAAGCCAGCTGCAGCCACACAGTGCAGTGCCGTGGGGCATGGCCAGGTTCACCAGGGGCTCTCAGCACCCACCAAGTCCTGGAAGAGCAGCAGCTGGGGGCCAGGGCTCACTCCCCGCTCTGGGAGGGGACCACATCACCACATGGTGCCACTGCTGCTCCCCAAGTTGGCTAGCAGATTTGTTACCACCCCAGTGAGATATTCATCCTTCCCAGGCAGAGATCTCCATTCCCTGCCTGATTTCACACCCAACACCTTCAGTGTCACAACCACCGATGCTGACCAAGGGGTGGTCTGGCCAGAGGGAAAACGGGGCTGGAGGTAGACCCTCCACTGGGAAGCACTCATCAAAGATGGATGCTATGGTTTACCATGGTATCAGTGGCCATCAGCTCTCAGCCCCACTGCAAAGGGCAAGATCCAATGGATTGAGCTACTGACTCTACGCCTCCCAAAAAGCAGGGCCAAGAACATCCACCCCTTTGGCCGGCCATGTTCTCGCTGACACGTGGGAGGAATAGCGGGTCTCATCCCAGATGTTGTACTCACCTTGAACCAAAACCTGCACCTCCGCCTGGGCCACCCCTGCCCTGTTGCTGCCCTGGCAGATGTAGAGCCCTTCATGACCAAGCCCCACACGGGCGATGAGCAGAGTCCCACCATCCTCGGACACCACCACACCATCCTGCTCTCCCAATGGATGCCCATCCTTCAGCCACCTGTGGGGAAGGGGACAGAAGGCAAGTCCTTGGTCTGTCCTGCCACCACCCACCCCCCATTTCTACCCAGCAAAGGAGTGGGGTGCTGGCAGCAAGGACTATCCCCTTGTCACCTGGAAAGGAGCTGGCAGTGCCCAGATCATTGGGCAGAGCAGGATCCCAGGGACATGGAGCAGGAATGGATGCCTCCCATGCTAAGGGACACCCCAAGCTGGAGGTCCTCATACCCACCCTGAGCTCCTAGTCCAATTTCTGCCACAGCTTTGCATGCTGGGCTGAAGAGCACCCCCAGGGAGCTCAGGGAAAGGTGGGCAGGACCCACCACCCTGCAGCACTCACTGGATCCGGGGTGTGGGGATGCCCATGGCACGACAGCGAATCCTCAGGGATTCATTGGCAACAGCTGTCAGGGGACTTTCTCCATCACCGATCAGCAGCTGGGGGGGAACTGGAGAGAAAGGGGACATTAGGTTGGGACCACCCTCAGACCGTGACACAGGGATGTGGGAGCAGCCAAGGCTTGGAGGGTGCAGGACCCTGGTGGTACATTAAGACCCAGAGCCCTCAGGAGGAGCATTTTAAACAGCAGACGTGAACCTTGGATGTGCAGGCTGTAGCTGAGCGAGGCGTTCCCCGCAGCATTTGTGGCCGTGCAGGTGTAGAGGCCAGTATCTGTCACCTGGGGCTTGGCCAACCGGAGGGACCCCGAAGGGAGGACACTGTAGCTTGGGGGAGAAGGAACAGGAAAGCTGGATGGAAGGAACAGCCATGTCATCCATCACCACCTATCATTCATCTCAGCTAAGGGCTGAGAGCTCACCATCATCTTGAGACAGGCAAGAGAAGGTCCCGAGGGCCACCTCCTGCACAAGGAGGATGGCAGAGCCATCTGTGGGTGCAAACCCCCTTTACTCAGCTCCTGCATGAGCTCAGCATGAGGCAGCAGCAAGAGCCACCCACCTGGGGATGAAGGGTGACGGGGCTCCCCATGGAGCACAGCCCCTGCAGCTGGAGCTGGCTGTGCACTCGCTCCCAGCACTGTTTGTGCTCCACAGACATAACATCATCTCAGCCCATGGCTGCAGATTCCTCCTCATGTGCTCCCATAAATCACCCGGGGAGGTGAGGACAAGCACATGAGATGTGGGGAGCAGCACAAGTCAACCGGCAGCAGCCACAGGAAACAAGACAAGAGCGACAAGGCAACACAGTCCCTTCAAGAAGAGCAAAACCAAGACACCTTCCTGCTTCCCCAGGCCATAGCAATCCTCAGGTGTGCAGAAAGAAATTATTAACCCTAAGATGGAGGCTCACAATTCTACAAAGACACTTCCAGCATGGTGCTAATGTACCACACAAGAAGAAAGCATGTCTTGCTTCCAAGAGGGAAGACCAAGATGCTCAAACACATATCCAACCACTCTCCAGGTTATCTCTTCCCATCAAATCAGATTAAATGACTGTCTCGTGCCTGCCATCAGCCTCAACACCATCAAAAAATGAATCTGGCCCTCCAGAAGTCCCCCACTGGAACACAGCTGTCCTACTGCAGACAAAGCCACCAGGAGCATTTCAATGCTTAAAGCCCATGAAGTCCCCCTGATGTGGGCTGCAAGGCAGCAGAGGCTGCAGCACCCCCAGCCTCCCCAGCTGCCTGTCCTCCTCCTCTCCTCCTCCAGACCTGAAAACTCCTCCTCAGTGCCCTGCAGCCACCTGGTCCAACATCTCCCACAGGGATCCACCATCTCCAGGCTTGTCCTTGGCCTCACCAGCACCGTGACAGCACAAGGCAGGAATGTGCATGAAGGCGGATGGGCGAGTGTGGCCAAGGAGCTGCACTGGAGCCGCCTTCTCTTCTCAACCCCAGCCCCATGTCCAGGGCAGGCACGCGAAGGGTTGGGAGCAGCTGCTCCATCCCAGCAGATATTTGTATGATGGACAAAAATCCTGGTGGTTCTTGGCTTTGCTCTTCAAGGAGAGCAGAGCTAATGCCACGCCTCTCGGCTGCCTCAGCTCCTGGCAAAGCATTGAGCATTGGCCACTTGGTGCAAGGGGTGCCCTTCACATCTCCCTACCAAGCAGCTGAGTCCCTTCATGGACCCAGCATCCCCCCTGAGGAAACACACAATCCCAAGAGATCATGGTCCCAGCACCCAAAATTCTTCTTACCTTGCGGTGGCAAGAGGCAGTGGCTGGGACTCCTGGGTCCACACCACCAAGGGAGGGGGAAAGCCATGAACCTCGCAGGGCAGGGTGGTCTCCTGCCCAAGCACAGCCAGGACGGTTATGGGCTCTGATGCTTGCGATCCGTTCACGCTGATCCTGGGCTTCGCTGGGTGGAGAGGAAATGTGGCTGGTGTAAGAACGTTTCAGGTGCCCCACAGCCCTCATTGCTGCTCTTCCCATCCCACAAACCCATCTGGAACCTGGCTAGGTGACCCAGGGAAGCTAGGAGAGTCCCAAGGCCATGCTCTCCCTGCCAGTCACCCTCTGGAGCTACTTTACTAGGAGCTGGTAGGAGAGCCAGTCCCAGGAACTCACTGCTGATGGAGAGCTGCACCTCCCGGCTGGAGAAGCCTGCTGCATTGGTAGCTGTGCAGAAGTAGGTTCCAGCATCCCCAGGGGAGGATGAAGGAATCAGGAGGGTCCCATCAGGGTCAAGGTGGTAGCGTGGGCTCGGTGAGATGGGCTCTGTGCCCTGCAGAACAAAGGGAAGGGAGGAAGGAAGACAACAGTGACTCTCCCATGAGCTGAGCATCCCAAGGGAAAGAAGAGGGCTCTGGACCCATCACAGGGGGCTACTCCCAGTCCCAGCTTCCCAGGGCACTTGATGCCACCACCCTGGGAAGCCACAGCCATGCTAGTGAGCTACATCCCCTCCAAACACATTACCCCACAGCCTGGCTGGCAGGAGGATGGCATCCTGCCTGTTCTCGTCACCTACCTTTGCCCAGGTGACAGTAGGGGGGGGCACGCCGGTGGCATTGCACCTCAGGGTGACATCCGCTCCCTCAGTGGCGGTGACAAGGACAGGGCCAAGCTCAATGCTGGGAGGAACTGAGAAGGAAGAGAAGCACCTCATCCTGCATGGCCAGGACCATGCCTACTAAAGAGAGCAGTGCTTTGCTGCTTAAGACCAGAGGGCATCCGTTCCTCATACATCCCAGAGCAGGGACACCAGGCACCCTGCTGCTCACCGTGGATGACCAGGGACACATCCTGCCTGTGTGAGCCGAGGGCATTGGTCACCTCACACGTGTACCTCCCCGCGTCCCCCTGAGACACCTGGTCCATGTGCAGGCTCCCGTCAGTCTGGATGGAGTAGTGGCCACTTGGAGCTACCTGGGCATGGGCAGAGAGCAGAAAGCAGGCCAGACCAAGGGGTCAGACATCACCGTGTCACTGCGTCTTTTGGGGAAATATCTAGAAATCAATCCTTGAGCAGTAGGAATGCCCTGATGCAGTGATGAACCCGCGTTACCCTCCCAACCCAAATTGTCCCCTGGCATCTTCCACCAGCAGCTTCAGCCCCAGGTGGTTGGGGCACCCATCCTGCAGCAAAGCCCCTGCCACAGGGCTGTGCTCGCAGCTGCCCACCCACCATCACGGTGGGTGCAGAAGCCTCACCGGCTGCCCATCCTTCAGCCATCGGCGGGCAGGGAACGGCCTCCCAGCCAGGATGACACAGGGCAGTGACACGGGCTGGCCGGGGAGTGCACGGACCACAGGGGATGCCAGAGCTATTTCTGGGGCTGCTTGAAAGAAGGGAAAGGGAAACAATATTAATTGGAGACAAACTGGCTGAGAATGCTCAGGAGAACAGATCTGGATTGCTTCTCTTCCAAGATCCAGACATTGGCTCAGCACCAGCCGGCTCCGACATTCAGCCCCCCCACCCCGCCCCACTAATTTGGGGATATTCATCTACAGTTTGGGTTCAAGTGCGTGTCAGTGCACTAAGCCAAAGAGGAGGAAGGGCATTATCCAGACCCTGCACTGGGGTGGGATTTGCTGGGCATTCACCACGGCCAGCCCAGGAGCAGACGTGGCTGCTGCTCCCTCACCCCCAGCACAGCCGGTGCTGGCCACAGCCAGGACCAACACACCAACAAAAGCACGTAAAAGCAAACCCTGTCCGGTGACCACGAGCTTGACCTCCGCTTGGATTTTCCCAAACTCGTTCTGGGCTTTGCAGATGTACACGGCTTGGTCATCCAGCGAGGCGCCTGGAGCACAGCAGGGAGAAACATGAGCTTGGTGGGGCTGGAGAACCCCGAGCAAGCTCCAGGATGGGGTGACACCACCTTCCCCAGCCCCACCACCACCTCTGAAGGGGGAGAAACCCCACAGCGCTGGAGGCTTGTGGGCTGTTACAGCACAGCTCAGCTTGCACAAGTAAAAAGTGCAAATAAACCCACCATGTCGATGGTTTATTACTGCAAAAAGAGAGGGCACCAGGGGGAACTCCCCTGCTGGGACACCAGCCTGCAGCAGGCTGGGGGGAGAGCACCCAGGGTGACACCCGGGTGGGATGCCCATGTGTGCCCTCCATCACGCCAACACACACTTGCACACTCAGCACTCTTACTGTTGATGAGGAGCTCGGCAGCCTCCAGCTGGCTGGAAACACCAGGCATCCCATGCCAGCCCACCATGGGCTTCCCATCCTGCCGGGACCAGGTGACCCGTGGCCGGGGAGAGCCCTGGACACGGCACAGCAGGCTCACGCTGTCCCCAACCTCCACCTCCACGTCCCCCAGGGGCTCAGGAAAGTGTGGGGCAGCTGGAGGAGAGAGCAGGGGGGAAGGGGCTCAGGCAGGTCCAACACCCCCATGTCCCCATAACCAGGGTGCACAGCCCAGCCCAGAGAAGAGACGGGGCTGCAAAACCCACAAGATGGGTAATCCTGAAGAGTTATGAGATTGACTTAAAGTGTGTGGTGTTTTTCCAAAGCTGTCATAGCCACTGCAGTTTCCATCCCTTCCAGTTACACTCAGCAATCCCCTGGCTCAGGAAAACCTCTTGCACTTTTCCACCATTAACTGCTTCAAGTCCCACTGTCCCCAACTCAGAACCTTCTCTCCTTTTCCTCTCCAGGCTCTCCCATCCCTCCTACCTCTGATGGGAAGCCCTGAGCAATGTCTGGTTGGGGTACATGGATTTCCAGACATGCAGAAGACAGCCTCCGCCTTATCCCCCTAATTGCATTTGGACCCCCAGTCTTGCCCCAAGTCATTGTGTCCCTTGCAATAACATCTGCACCAGCCTTCTGCCACTACCTGAGCATCTTCCCTTCTCCTGACCCTTGGAAATCCCACCAGGCTTCAGCCTGCTTGGACTGAGCACTGACACCCCCACGTCGGGAAACCCGGGAGCTGGGGGCACGAGGAGCCTTGGGAAGCAGCAACGGGGAGCTGAGCCAGGCGGGAGTGAGGTGGAGATAGGCTGGAGCACTCGGTGGCAACCAAAAGGAGAGGCAGAGACTTACACCCCACGTCCAGCACGGTGACATTGAAGGTGACGCCAGCCTCGCCGAGAGCTTCGCAGACGTACTGCCCCGCGTCCTCCTCCTGCACCGCCTGCAGCCGCAGGACGGCACGCTGCGTGCCAGGTGGGAACGCCGCCACCGCCTGCTCCCCTGCCCCGAGAGACCCCCCCACATCAGCACCCCGAGTGCCCCCGGGGGTCCCTCCTGCTGTCGGTCCGGGGACCCCACGTGTGACATCCCTGCAGGGTGGCAGAGGACCCCCGGTGCACGGAGGGAGTGCGTTCCCTAGGTCTGGTCCAGTCTCACCTTTGTACCAGGCGATGTGGGGTGGGGGCACCCCCGAAACCCAGCACTCCAGGGTCACATCTTCTCCCACCAGTGCCCTCAGGCTGGGTGTCACGGCCAGGATGGCAGGAGGCTCTGTGCCGTGGGGAGAAACACAGCTTTGGTGACTCCTTGCAGTGCAACGCCATTCACCCCCAGGGCTCCCCACAGCCTGGGGAGCTGCCCCCCAACACCCTCCATGGCAGACAGCCCCATCCCATAGCTCCCACGCCACAAGGTCTGGATATTAAATCCCTCCTGCGGCAGCTCTGAGCCGGGGAGCTTCCCAGGATGCTGCCAGCTGGTGGGGAGCGGGTACCGGAGAACTCCAGGGTGATGACTTGCTCATCCCAGCCCAGGGCACTGCTGGCGTAGCAGCTGTAATTCCCTGCATCCTCCGGGAGGGCAGCCCTGATGTGCAGGGTACCCCGAGCATCCGTGAAAACCCTGCGGCAAAGGGAGAGAGAGAGAGAGAGAGGGAGAAACGAGTCCTGTGAAAATAGGCCGATGAAAAATGAGTTTAAGTAAGTGGGCTTAAAGCCATCCTGCACACGTGGTGAGCACCGGGCATTTGATAGATGCAGGTGAGCACTTAAAGCCAGCTCCATCTGCTGCTGTGGGGAAGGACATTGCTTTGAACCAGGGAAAAGTATTGAGAATTGGGCTTCTTCATCTCTAAAGTAGAAAAAAACAACCTTCCCCAGAGTCCACTCCAGCACTCACAGCCTGACAGCCAAAAAGCAGAAGAAATTAAGGGGAAGCACAAGGAGTATTTTGAGGCTTGAGCGCACACCGGGTGTGCAAAGCATCTCAAGTCCCCCTCAGTGGGGATGGTGACCTGGATAAGGCAGGATGGCTTAAAAATAATGTATGAAATGAATGGCAGCAGCAAGCCAACCATCTCAGTGCATGAGTTGGGGTTATTGCAATGCCTTCCTCTTCTCAGAGCCATGGGCAACCCCGAGCCCCTCTCCTTCAGCCCGTCCATCCCTGCGAGGGGAGCACCATCCCCAGCAGGACAGGGGGGATGAAGGCACCCCAGTCCTCACGGGTTACCTCTCATCCTGCTCCACGTCCCAGCCCCAGCGCTTCCAGGTGGTGTGGGGCCGGGGATGGCCCCCAGCCGTGCAGTTCAGCCGCAGCTCCTGGTCCCTGCTGAAACGCTGGGGGCTGGAGTCGACCTTCACCCACGGCGCCTCTGCATGGCACAGGGTTGGAGAAGGGTTCATCTCTTGGTGCCACCAGCCTGCCACCCATGGGACAGGGCATCACCCAGGCCAGGGTCCCACACGGGGCAGAGCCTACCCTGGATGAAGAGCCAGAGGGAGGCGGTGGCAGTGCCGTGGGCGCTGTGTGCCACACACTCGTACAAGCCCCCGTCCCCCGGCTGCACGCGGCTGATCTCCAGCGAGTGGTTCTGCAGAAGCCTGGTCCGGCCGTCCCCGGGCTGTGCCGCCTTCCCATCCCAGCTCCACGTCAGGTTGTAGGGTACGGCACTCAGAACCGGGCAGGACATGACCACGTCTTGACCCGGTGAAGCCATGATGTTGCCCGGGACCATGAGACGTGGTGGTGGCTCTGCAAACACAGCACGTTGGGGTGAAACGAGCCCATGCCCAGCTCCCGGAGACCCTCAAGAGGCTTGGCACGAGCAATCCCCACCTGAGACAGAGACGTAGGCACGAGCCCGTGTCACCCCGACTTTGCTTGTGGCTGTGCACTCATAAAACCCTTCATCACTCTTGGACACCACAGGGATCAACCAGCTGATGTTCCCCCAGCTCCTACAAAAAGGGAAATTACATGGTCACCCCCACCCCATGCCACCACTCTGATCCAAACCCCTGGGACCCTTTTTCATCCAAGCCAGGCAAACGGATGTACCCCCACTGCCCAGAGCATCACACGGGCACATCTCTTGGGATTTCCTTCTGCTGCCTTGGGATGCTCAGGACTTGCAGGCACCCAGCCAGCACACAGCATCCCCCTGCCTGGGGGGGACACAGCTCAGGGGGCTGTTACTATCCACACAGGTCCATCATGGAGCCCACTGGGCCAAACCAGACGCTCACCTGAAGACCTGCTCATCCCCAAGCTTCCTCCTACCACGGCTGAGATGCAGGCGGAAAGGGACCTCACTCTGTGCAGAGCAGGAGATCAGCTGTGGTTCATGGTTGTAAGCCTGGATCTTGCTGGAGATGTTCACTTTGGGTAGACCTGGAAGTGGTTGGGGACATGCACATGTATGACACTCCTCAGGAGCTCAACAAGAGCTGCACTGGGAAGTAGAATAAAAAAATATATCAAAGCAGAAACCAAAGCAGAGGCAGGGCTGGAGCCTCTGGTCCCTTCTCAGCACCTTTGGGGTGCATGGGCACCACTCACTGGGGACCACGCTGGTGTAGGTGACCCCGGAGAGGCGGTGCAGAGGGTGGCCCTGGGCATCTTCACCCTTCACCTTCAGCAGAAAGTCACCCGGGGGGACGTGGAGCGGTGAGCCCACCCAGAGCTGCCCCGAGGAGGTGTTGGAGAGGGGTCGCATGGGCAGCGAGAGGAGAACGTGGCCAGAGGTGTTGAAGAGCTCGACCTCCTGCAAGTGCCCAGGTGGCTTCAGACCGGTGCAATTCACCACCACGGAGATGGGCAGACCTGGAGAGAGAGAAGGGAAAAAACAAGCCATCCGGGTTCCTGGCTGCAAGAAGCCCAGTCACAGCATCCACTCCCCTGGGCAGCACTAGCCTCACCCTGCACCGGCCGCTCCCCGGGCTGGCCAGCATCAAAATCTGGCTGGGTGGAGAAGCTGGCTTGAAAATTAATGTTGCTGATGCCCGTGATCCTCAGCGAGTGGCGGCCGCTGCTCTGGGTCTGGAAGGGGAGCAAGAGGCTTGTGCCAAGAGCAGGGGATGGGAGAGGCAGCAGCCAGCCCCTTCCAGCCCGCCCAGGCATCCTCTGCCTGGTTGGAGGTGGATGGGGGAAAGCCCACTCCTGGCAAAGCTAAATGTCCATCAGGGGATGGGTAGGGGACGTGCAGGGTCTGCCACCAGCCTACCGTGACCGACCACATCCCTGGCTCGTGGGGCTCCATGCCCACCACCATGGCTGAGTTGGGGATGCTGAGCAGTTCCTTCAGGCCTTGGCCTTTCTCAAGGACCTTTCCTGCAACAGCAAGTGAACCTCTGGGATGGGCAACCAGGATCCATCTCCTGATCCCAGCAGCCATCCAGGATCCCCCTTCTCAGGGCTCATCACAGCTGAGAGCCCACCACAGCTCTCACAGCCAGGGCAGCAGAAAAAATCCTCCTAAAACCAGGGGCAAAGCCAGCCCAGGAGGAGAGTAGGGCAGATGCACTCAGTGATTAATTGCAGCTCATTGCTTTTCTATTTGTTTTCAGCACAGGGTTTGGGGATCCCCAGGCCTACAGCCCTGACCTGAGGGCTCTCCAGGAGGCAAAGCTTCACCCCCCCAACCCACTCCCCTCCTCTGGGCTCCTACCTGCTGGATCCCGGACCTCGATCCCTGGAGCGGGACCACTCAAGGAGATGGTGACCTCCTTCAGGCTAGGGTCAAAGGGGACAGGCCACGTGTGCTCCCCACCATCCTCATGGTCCGTGGACAGTAAGTGGACTTTGGCGGCCTGGATGGCCTCTTCCACCCACTTCAGCACCTGGGGACACATGGGGGGCAGATTAATGCAGATTCCCCCTTGCCATTTTGGGAGCAGGGTGTCAAAATCTCAGGCACAAATGGTGCCCGGGTGAGTGACCAGCTCTAGCCAGGTCTGGTGGGTGCCAGCATGAGGGTGGCACGGGGATGGTGGGCAGGAGCTGATGGCCCTGGCTGAGCCCCACCTTGCTACGAGCAGGTGCAAAAGGAATTGGGTATTTTGGTGTAATTGTTATTGCCAGGTGGCTCCTGCTCAGCTGCTCAGGGTGGTCACATTATTACCCCCCAGCTCACTCATGGTAATAGAAAACCTTTAATCACACAACTGCTGGAGGCTGGGTAGGGGCTGTTGCTGGGGGTCTGCTGCCAGATCACAAGCACTTTGATCTTCCTCATATCTCCGAGATTTCACGCCTGTCAGGATCTTCATGGACAGGGACAGGCAGAAGGTCTACTCTCCCTGTGGCCAGACCACCCACCCTATTGCCAGGGTGCTGAGCAACAGGAGCCCCCCAGCTTCATCCTCAGCCCCAGCAAACACCTCCCCTCCGCAGGGGCAGACAAGTTGGCTCATCCCAAGGATAACACGAGCAGCCCAGCAGCAAACCCAAGAACAACCAGCCTTCTCCAGCCCTCCCTTCGGTTTCAGGCTGAAGCAGGGCTCCCAGAGCAATCTGGAGGTGCACAAGGACTCGCCCAAGGAAAATAAAAGAGCAGCCAAGCTGGGCTGGACCACTCACACTGTGGTCACCCTGTCCCTGCTCACCTCTGTCACCTGCTGCTTGTCCAGGTGGAAGATCTGCCCGGAGCTGGTGGCAGCGATCCGCTCGTACACGCGGTACCCGGGGTGGCTCCTGTCCCCGCAGTCCCCCGTCAGCACAAACACCACCTGCCACAGCAATGCTCCCCGTAGCATCACACACAGCCAGGGGCGTGTGTCTGAGTGTCTGTCCATCCCAGGGAGGGAGAGCAGCCACATCAAACAACCCCCAGTACATCAAACCAGCCCAGGGGATGCAAAATTCACCCCACTACCAGACAGCATAGGGGGGGTTTATTTGTAGCAATGCTCCCCGTAGCATCACACACAGCCAGGGGTGTGTGTCTGTCCATCCCAGGGAGGGGGCACAGCCACATCAACCAACCCCCAGTACCTCAAACCAGCCCAGGGGATGCAAAATTCACCCCACTACCAGACAGCATAGGGGGGGTTTATTTGTTGCAGCTCACCTGGGTCTGCTTGTGCTGCAGCAGCCGCAGCAGGTCCTCCTGCTGCTCATAGTCCTTGGCCCGAGCATCCGAGAAGACGTAGACAAAAGAGCCAGGGTGGGAGACCTCCACGGCCAGCCTGATGGCTCCCACACTCATCTCTGGGCAGTCCCCCCCGCCCTGCAGCACACAGGGAGGGATGTGGCACAGGGAGCCACCCAGTGCTCAGCCCTTTCTTCCCTGCTGGGCTCCTGGCAGGATCCCTCCCAGGGTCTGCTCATGGGGAGGAATGGCACCAGCTTGCTGGAGTCAGCCCAAGAGCAGCACGACGGTATCTCATCAGGAACAGGCAGGATCACAAGGACCCATCCCCATCTCAACCACCAATGATGCCTAAACCACCCGTTTGGGGACCCAGACTCACAGAAGCCCCTGGCTTCCCACCAACACCCTTAGTGGGCACGTTCATGCCCACCCCAGCTCGTTACCCCCCACATGGCAGCAGGACCAGCCACCACGGGCAAGCGCAGAGGCACAGGGAGGACCAGCTCCTGCTTCCATGGGCTTTGCACCCCCAAGGGCTGTGAAATGATTTGCAGCCGCAGCTTTACACCTCCCACCAAAAACACAGCTGCATCCAGGGGGAAGCGCCACAGGGATTTTAGCAATGCACGGGAGGCAGGGATGGATAAAGCATGATTAAATTCCCGGGGAGCGTTTCAGCTGGCAGAATGCAGCTGAAATAGTTTTAAAAAAATAAATAAATTCAAAAACTCAAGCCATTTTCAAACAGCACTTAGAGAGGAAGAGATTTTTTTGTTTCCATGGGGAGCGTGCAAACTCTCCCAGGGAAAGCATTCCCACTCCGGGCCAAGAGCCGTGGACTGGGAGCTCTCTGCTCCATCACAGGGGCCTGGGGCTCAGCACCAGTGTTAACCCCCCCCTGCACTCCCACCCTGGTGAGGTCAGCCCCAAGCCCCTGCCACATTCCCGGGGGACTCCAGGGAGCAGGGATTGCTCCTGGGACCCATCACCGTGCAGGAACGCAGGGCAAGGCTTCCCATCAAAACCACAGGGCTGAAGACGCCTACCTGGACGTGGAGCTCCCGCAGGCGCCGCTGGAAGAGCCGGGGGTCCCCAGTGAGGGTGACAGGTCCCACCTCTGCAAGGACACCAGCACCACCACCTCAGCCTCCCCGACCACCAGCACCAGCCTCCTCCAGTGCCACACTGCCAGCACCCCCGAGCACCCATCCCAGCTGAAATACCCTCAAAGGGCCCATAGGAGATGAGGTTAAGCATCTTCTCTGGCTTGTCACCAGGAGAGACATGGATTTGGACACGCTGGCCCCGTGCCACAGCCTGCCCTGGGACAGCTCTCGGCTAGGGTGAGCTGCAAACTGATGCAGAAACCCATTTACTACCCTCTGCCTCCTTCCCTCCAACAATTTTCATTCAAACTCAGTGTTTCTGCTGAAAATAAAAGCTCGGCCCCGCTCTCCTTGTAGGGGGTTGGAGCTCTTTTGGAAAGGAGCTGCTATTTCTGGGACAGAAAGAAATGATTCTGGTGCTGCAGTACGCTACCAAAACCTCCCAGGGAGCGGTGCTTTTATTGAGGAAACTTGAAAATAAGCCGTGGGCTTGTACAGAAATGCCCCCCCCACGACTAGACCTGGGAGATGGGAACAGGCTGGAAGTCAAAAAGCCCCAAAAGAGTGGGTGCCAGCATCACTGGGATTAATCCAGTGAGAACCAGCTTGTCCTGTTGTCCCCAGGGCAGCCTGGGGACGGGAGTCCCTGCCCAGCACCATGCCCTTGAGCTGCAGCTCACCCCGTGCTGCCCTCCCCATCACAGCAGTCGTTAAAAAGAGGGAGAAGGGACAGTGCAGGCACTTGGAAAGTACATGTTTCAGCCCCAAACCCAGCCAGAACCGCACCCCAGCTCCCCGCAGCCCCGTCCCCTGGTGGGACACGTGCCCTCACCCTGTCCCAGCCATACCTGGGTCGTGGAAGGGGACCAGCACGTAGTTGCTGATGGGCTTCGTGCTCCTGCTGAGTGTCCTCTCCAGGATGCGCGAGGCCCCGTCCATCACCTGGACCAAGTCGTCGTACATGGAGCCGGTGACATCGAAGACAAAGGCTAGGGTGGCCCCCCCTGTGCCGGGGGGGGGCTCAGCAAGACTGGGCACCAGCAGCAGCCATAGACCCAAAAACACCCCTCCGTGGGGTGACATCGTGGGGGGAGACCCTCAGATGCTGGGGACACCCCTTCTGTCCTCACCCCAGCTCCTTCACCCAGACCCCTGGGGCTCTGTCCCCACACCAGGGAGGGACACAGGGATCCAAGGAGTCAGACACGGTGGGGACAGAGCAGGGACACCGAGCCACCCGCAGCTGTGGACCTGCTCCTCCAGCACTCAACTTCTGGGAGGGAAGGAGGGAGGGAGAACAGGACTTTTGGAGCCAGCGGCGTGGCAGGGAGGTGGGTGGGAGCTGGAGGAAGCTGGGATGGGGACGCAGGGATTGGGAAGCAGGTCCTGCAGCCCATAGGATTGTCAGAAACGCTGCCCAGGCCCCCTTCCCTGGCTTTGACCCCCCCTCTCCCCAGCTCAGAGAGCCCCCTGCTCTGCCTGGGGGAGCTGGGGGTTAGGGGAGGACACGGGGGCTCACAGCTGAGCTCCTGCGGGGAAACCCTGCCAAACCACGGCAGGGGGGAGCAGAGCCAGCTGCGAGAGGGACCCCGAGGAAGTGACCCCTCCTTCTACCAGGCAAAGGGCTCTCCTGGAATAGGGGCCAGCAATGGGGCTGTTGGGGAAGGGTTCAGGGGGGCTTCCCCAGCACAGCAACCCCAGGAACGGGGAGCAAAGAGCCACGTAAAGTGCAGACAAAGCCGGAGCCAGGAAAAGGGCTGGGAAAGGCAGCCCTTGGCCGGGAAAAGCAGCCCTTGGCCGGGAGCTGAGGAGCTTTTCCTGGCTCCCCCCACAGCGGAGCGCTGAGCTCATGGCCGCTCCGGAGGGATGCTCCGCTCTTGCTCAACTCTTCCCCTCACGGGACCCGGGGAGCAGCCTCGGCCAAGGTGAAGCTGTGCACCGAGGGGTGAATCCTGCCCTGGGCTGAGCACCCCCTCCTGCCCCCAGCACCTCCCTGGCACCAGACCCGCTCCTCCCGGGCACAGGGGCTGGGGGACGTTGGGGACCACCCATCCCACCTCCCCACACACAGGACAGCCAGACCCTCTTGTGCATCCCTCTGACCTGTGGGTCCCTGCAAGCCTGGGCAAAGCCCAGCACAGTCCCAGGGTGGGTGAGACCACCCTCTCCCCCTTTCCCTTGCAGTGGGGCAGAGGGGGCAGCCACATGGCTCCTCTGTCCCCCAGGGCTGGGCCATGAGCTGTGCTGGTGGCTTGTCCCCAGCCTGTCCCACAGCGGGGGCTGTATGCTTGCATCCAGTTACCTACCTGCAGCCCCTTGTCCCCCCACCAGGCTTTGCACCCCCAGCCCCACACACACTGCAAGCTCGGGGGGGGTGTCTCCCACCCCACAGTGCCACCAAACCTACCTCAGAGCATCCCCAGCCATTAACCCTGCACCCCAACCCCATCCTGCACCCCCCCCCGGCAGGGAGCACCTCTCTCACACGATGCTGGCACCAAGAAACCCCACCAGCTTCTTCCCATCACCCAATTAACCCATCAGCCCTTCCCACACCCACCAGAGCTCCAAGTTCCCAGGAGCACCTGCACCAGTTGGGTTTTAACCCCTTCCTTGCTGGGGGTTAAAGCTCAGCAAAGCCAGGCTCAGCCTCTGGGTAACCACTGTGGTTGGGAGCCTGTGCCCATCCTCACCCACTCCCCAGCACGGGGGATAAATCCCCGGGTGCCCCCGCCATGTGCTGGCACAAGGCACGTCCGAACAAAACCCCCCTGTGCAAACACAGCCTCCTTGTTTAGGGCATCTCCTCTGGCCTCCCAAATATAATTAGTCAGCCTCGTTAGGGGAGCAAACAAACGAAGACGGGCTGGCAGGGAGGACTCGTTTCCAGAAGACTTGGCAGGGCAGGACAGCAAACGCCATCCCGCCGCACGTGAAAAGCTTAATCCAGGCTGTGAGCCCCCCTGCTCGCCCAGCCAGCCATGGGGGGGCTGCCGAGGGGCACCTCCATCCCGGGCGGTGAGGCATAATTATGAGATATTAATATCAAGCTTCCTCCACGGCCATTGCAAGCCAAAAAGGACCCGACAGCTCCCAGCCCCCTGCAGCAACAAGGAGGAGATGGGGACGGCGCAGGCAGGCACAGCTGCGAGTGGATTTGCTGCAAAAGAGAAATAAAAGAGAGGATGCAGGCACTTTGGGGGGGGATGATAGGACCTGGCAGCAGAAAAGCTGTGTCTGGGCAAAGGGAGGTGGAAGGAGTTGTGTTACTGGGGTGAGTGGTCTCCGATGTGCCCCCAGCCTGGAGCTGAGACCTGAAAGCTCATCACAGCATTTGGGCACAGCGCTCCCCCCTCTCCCTGCCAGCACAGCAGCTCACAGCATCCCTGTTGCAGCCATGGGGCCAAGCACTGCTCGCTGCTGGTGCCACTGCAGCCCCCGTTCAGGGCACGTGGCACCGGTGGGTCAGATCCCCCCAGCCCAGCTCCTGTCCCCCATGAGCATGGGGACAGCTTTGGGGGCTGCAGGAGGCAGTGAGCCAGACCCTTGTGTCCTCCCCCCAAGCCTACCTGCCTTCCCCTCGCGCATCACAGACCACGGGTGCCTCGTTACTGTCATTAAGCTTTTATTTCCACTGTCACAAAGTTCCTGGGTTTTATTTTGTTTTGTTGAGGGGTTTTTTTTTGTTTGGTTTTTTTTTTTTTTTTTTAAACTGTTTCGTTTGCTTGGTTTGCTCTTGAATTCATCTCAAGACAAGGCAGCAGGGCATGCAAGCCGAGACACCGGCACGGACGCACAGACAGGCTTCATCTTTACAAACGAGGCTCTTTGCTGGAGCTGCTGTTTCTCAGCCCGGGGCTCGGCTGCCCCCCCGGGCAAGGATCCCGCAGGACACGGCCCCCAGGACCCGGGGCTGGTGGCCACAGGACGGAGAGAGAGAGAGAGAAGGGAAGGATGGCTTTCCTGCAGCGCCGCTGGAAGAGTTCGAGGCTGGCACGTGGGACTGAGACCCCAAAACTGCTCTGCAAGGAGACCCCCAAGCTGCTGCACCAAGACCAGGCTCAGCATCTCCCTCCTTCACCCCCAGCCCTCGCTCCTGCCCCTCTGACCACCAACACCCCCTCCCCTCCAGCACCCCCCGTGAAGGAGGGGTGGCTGATGCCCTCTCAAAATGCCCCCCTTTGCCCGGGGGTTGGGGACAGTGGGACAGCAAGCTGGCTGTGGGTCACCCACCCATCCCACCCAACCCTCCCTCACCCTAAATATATGGGAAGAGGGCAGCTCTGCCAGCGATTTTGGTTGCCCCCGTGCCTGCCCCCAGCCCTGCTCCAAGTGGGGCTCAGCCCTCCAACCCTCCCTCACCCTAAATATATGGGAAAAGGGCAGCTCTGCCAGCGATTTTGGTTGGCCCCATGCCATGCCTGGCCCTGCTCTGGGGGCTCAGCCCTAGACCCTGAGACCCCTCTACCCCTCAGGTTATTGGTGGCTCTGGGATGGGGGGGTCCCACAGCCTCAGGATCCCCCATCCAACTGGGATGCAGTGTCCACAGGAGGCAGGCACCGACATCTGCTGCTGCAGGCTCAGGGAAGATGCAGCTGGTACCCAGCCCAAACTGGGTTTGGGGTCCCCCATAAGCAAATCCCCCCCTCCATGAAGCTGGTGGGGAGCGCTCCTGGGGGGGACACCCAGCCTCATCACAAATCACAGCAATTAAGGGGCTGCCCCTAGAAGAAAAATAAAAAAACAGCTTCACTTCTCTCTCTCAGATCCTGGTTTGCGCTGTGATAAGAGAGTGGGGGGAATCTGCCCCCAGAGCCTTCTTCCACATCCTCGCTCTCAGTGTGGGGGGGAAACAGCTCAGCCCAGCCCAGCCCAGAGCTCAAGGAAAGACAGTTACAAAGCAGCAACAGTCAGCGCACGAACAGAAAAAAAGGAAAAGAAAGGAAAAGCACAGACACGGCATTTTAATGGGGCAACACCAACGGGGACAAATGAGAAGTGGGGGGGGGACACGCCACAGTCCCCAGGGCCAGACCCTCGCCTCTGCCTGGCTGCTCTTGGGGTCCCCTGTCTCCTGGAGCCAGTTGGGTTCCAGACAGGCATCAGAAACCCACGTATGAACGGAAAGAAATCAGGTCTTGTCGGCTGTTCATTTTTAATAATTACCAGGTGTAAAAAAAAAAAAGACTGAAATTAATTAGTCAGTGATGGAAACTCCACCCCAGCGGTGCACACCCCGCTCCCGGTGCTCCACACGTGCCTGGAGTTTGGTGGCTCCTGCCAAACCCATCTGTTTCACAGCCCTGAGCTGTATCCAGCACCCCAGGTGCAGCCATCAACCCGCTCTGGAGGGGATATGGCTCACCCCGGCCATCTCACTGGTGGGGAAACTGAGGCACGAGGAGGTTAAGGCCAACATTTCCAAGCGTGAGATGCTTCGAGCCTTTTTTTCAGCGGTACCGAGAAGCTGCAGATCTCGGTGATGTTCAGCCCTCGGTGCTCCCCAAAGGAAGGCCAGAAGCATCCAAGTCAGGGTCCCAAGTCTGCAGGCAGGGGGAAATACTGGGGTCAAAATGATTTGCCTGGGGACATTCAGCCAAAAGTGGGGCAGGACAGACCCCACGCTGGGACGTGGGACAAGGGCTATCCCCGACCCTGCAGGAGGGGCCTCTGCCCGGGAAACTCATCCCCACCACAAAACCAACAGGGTCCTCATCAGCCAGAACAGAACTTTTGAATACAGGCAAAACCCCTTTTTTTTTCCTTTTTTCTCCTTTTTTTTTTTTTTTAAATGTGCAAATATTTAACGAGGGGCGAGGGAGGACGAGGCGTTGGGCTCCATCCCTGAGCCCACCAGCAGCAGCGACAGCAGGAGGTTGCTGGCGATGACACTGAATTTGGGGATTTAGGGGGGTCTGATGCTCTCCCAAGCCAACCCTGGTCCCTCACCAACAAAAGGGGCCACACATCCTGCTGCCCTCGCAGGGCTCCCTCCTCGGTGAGACACCAGCAAGCAATGATGGAGCTCAAAGCCTGGCAGGTCCTCCGAAAATTGAAAGCCTTTCAGGGGAAAGCGTCAAAGCAAATGAGGTTTGCCTTTAGCTGGGAATTATGTCAAACTTCGCAGGGTCCATCATTTATCAGCGGAGGCGATTACGGCAGCGTCACATTCATTGGGAACATCGATTGGCACCAGGAAGGGACTGGTCTGGCAGACGAGCGCTAGAGAAGTTGGAGGCACTGCAAAGATCTACCCAAGAGAATTGCGTTTTGGCCACAAAGCATCAAGGAAAAGGAGTCTCCAGGGGAAGGAACAAAGTGACACCCTCCAGGAGCCCCCAACAATGAACCGTGGGCACCCCTGGGGGCAGGAACCACAGAAGAGACAGAAATATTGCACATGGATGTGAGGTCAGTTTCCCTGGGGATGGGGAAGGGCAAGTTTCTTATGGGCATCAGAAAGAGCCACCAGCACATGGCCCCGAAACTGGGGGAGCCAGGCTGCCTGGCAAAGGACCACCATCACTTGGCTGGAGAAGCTGTTCCTGCCACGCTGGGAGGATTCAGACCCTGCTGGGGCACCATCTTGTCACCTGCATCGTGGGACACCAGTGAGAACATCTTCCACGTTCAGATGTCAACTCCTACCACCATGGGGATGGTCCCCTGCCTGGGTTTGACTGCGGGAGCTGCAGATATCTCTGCAAACAGCAGGGTGGAGAGATGCTCCCACCATCAGGCACAGCAGGGATGGAGGGTTGAGCCCCAGGGTGGTGGGAGAGGGGCATCGGGGGTGGTGGGGCAGGAACAAGCCACGTCAGAGCAGGAGGGGTCTGCACCCCGGCTGGCATCAAGGGGTCCCATGGGCATCCTTCACTTTGCTCCCGAGGAGGTGCCAATCTCTCCTTCCCCAGGGCAGGGGACAAGGCAGATGGAAACGGAGCTGTGGCAGCACCCACATACGCTCATCCTCCAGTGGAGATGCCAACTGTGTCCCACGGCGCATATCCCAGTGGGGCTGAGCCCTCCTTGGGCACATCCTGGAGTGGTGGCAGACGATGGAGAGGCCACACAGGCACCACTCATGGCCATTTCCAACCATTTCCAAGCCCCACACTCGGGGGTCTCCAGGTGTGTTTCCCCAGCTCCCTGCCTCCCCTAGGGTGGGTGCAAGCAGCTCCGTTTTGGGGCAGAACCCTTGGTTTACAGCAAAACCTCCCACGTCCTAAACGAGGAGCAAGGGGATAAGGAGACACCCCCAAGCTGCACATGTCCCAGCCTGGCACCCTCACGGCAGGAGCTATCACCCCAACTGGGATGGGGGGACAGAGCGAGTGGTCCCCACGGGCATCCCCTCTGCTCCCCCAGCACACGGGCTAATTCCCAGCCACCTCCCTGGGGTGCAAACAGACCTTCCCACCATTTCCACAAAAATTAATAGTAAAAGAATGTGGGGATAAGGAGACACCCCCAAGCTGCACATGTCCCAGCCTGGCACCCTCACGGCAGGAGCTATCACCCCAACTGGGATGGGGGGACAGAGCGAGTGGTCCCCACGGGCATCCCCTCTGCTCCCCCAGCACACGGGCTAATTCCCAGCCACCTCCCTGGGGTGCAAACAGACCTTCCCACCATTTCCACAAAAATTAATAGTAAAAGAATGTGCTTGAAAGCAAAAACCCGACTCTCAGCTCCGTTAATACTTGTTCATGCAGTGAGAAAATTAAAAAAATACTATCACCCCAACTGGGATGGGGGGACAGAGCGAGTGGTCCCCACGGGCATCCCCTCTGCTCCCCCAGCACACGGGCTAATTCCCAGCCACCTCCCTGGGGTGCAAACAGACCTTCCCACCATTTCCACAAAAATTAATAGTAAAAGAATGTGCTTGAAAGCAAAAACCCGACTCTCAGCTCCGTTAATACTTGTTCATGCAGTGAGAAAATTAAAAAAATAAATGGAAATGAGGACATTCTGGTGCCTGGTGGTTGGGATGGAGGGATGGAGGAGGCTGGGGCTGCTCGGAGCCTGGGCTGAGCGAGCCCTCGCTGAGCTTGCAAAGGGAAGGGTGAACAGAAAAATGCAGCAAAACGGGGAAAAGGAAAGAGGAAAAGAAGCTACAGCATCCCCTTAAAACAGCAGCCAGCCCAGGGAGCTTGGGATACAGGGGGTGGGAGGAGAAGGGGAGGGAAGGCAGATTTTTTGGCTTCATTGTTATTGCAGGCTCCCGGTGCCCCGCAATAGTGTACGAGCATGTAAACCTTACAGATCATCATCTAGGTGGTCGGACACACACACAAGAGACTAAACACGGCAGCAACATTTACAACAAATAAATAAGGATATCGATCGTCGAGACAGGCATATAAAAAAAAGCCTCACTAAATGGAAATGAGGACATTCTGGTGCCTGGTGGTTGGGATGGAGGGATGGAGGAGGCTGGGGCTGCTCGGAGCCTGGGCTGAGCGAGCCCTCGCTGAGCTTGCAAAGGGAAGGGTGAACAGAAAAATGCAGCAAAACGGGGAAAAGGAAAGAGGAAAAGAAGCTACAGCATCCCCTTAAAACAGCAGCCAGCCCAGGGAGCTTGGGATACAGGGGGTGGGAGGAGAAGGGGAGGGAAGGCAGGTTTTTTGGCTTCATTGTTATTGCAGGCTCCCGGTGCCCCGCAATAGTGTACGAGCATGTAAACCTTACAGATCATCATCTAGGTGGTCGGACACACACACAAGAGACTAAACACGGCAGCAACATTTACAACAAATAAATAAGGATATCGATCGTCGAGACAGGCATATAAAAAAAAGCCTCACTTTTTTTCCACCGAAGGAAAAAAAAAAACAAAAAAAAAAAAAAGAAGAAAAAAGCACAATACTGTCTCACCAAAAAAAAAATAAAAATAATATAATAATATATATCCCTAGTGAGCCGGGCCGGGCTGCCAACGGCATCGCAGGTGATGCCAGGACTGTGTCCCCTGTTGCCATCGGTGCCTCGGCTCCCCAGCCGCCCCACGCAGGCAGCACCTCGGGGTGCACGGCCCCCCGGTACCTTTGGGCTCCGTCTCCAGCCGGCGGGTTCCCGGGAGAGAGAGGACCACGCCGGCGCCGGCGCATCCGCAGTCCCATCCGAAAACGTAGGAAAGGGGAGCAAAGAGGGTGAGGAGGCCGTGGGGGGGGGGAGCTCTGCCTTCAGCGATGCTCGACCCGTTTCCCCCGGCCATGAAGTCCCGGGCGTTCGCTGCCGCTCAGACCGGGGGTCTGTCGCGGGTGGTTGGTTGGTTGGTTGTTGTTTTTTTTTTGGAAAAAGCAGAAGTTGGCAAATGGCAGCGGCTGGTTCAGAGTGCAGAGAGGGGGAGTGAGCTCGCGCTTCGAGGGCATCCTTTGCTCGCGGAACAGAAAGGAAGGCCGAGAGGGACAGGCAAGCTGCGCGCGGCGGTGGTGGTCGGATGGCACACGGAGAGCATCTTCCCCCAGGCGTCTGCGGGAGAGGCAGGGGGAGAAGGAAAATCAGGTGAGAAGGATGGGCAGAAAGCCCTGCAGCCATCTCACCCGACACAGAATCACAGGTTGGAAGGGACCTTTAAGATCATCTAGTCCCACCATCACGAGCACAGCTGAAAGGTAGTAAAGATTGTGAAAAGCTCTAAACTCCAGCGGGATTAAAAAACAGCCCCACCACCCGTGGTCAGACACTGCCTGAACTGCAATGACCAAATCCACCCCAAGAGACATCTCTGCATGGCCCCACGGGGCACGGTGAGGACCATGGGGTGTGAAGCTTAGGGAACCACAGAATCCCTGACACCACTGTGCCAAACCCTGCCAGCTCCAGGGCGTAATATAATAAGAGATAATATAAATAAAACATTTAATATAATATCTCTCCGGAGCATCCCCGTGCCCCCAGCACCCCAGCTGCCTCCCTGTCTCCTCTGCAGCTGCATCCCCAGGCGAGAGCATGAGTCGTGCCGCAGGCAAACGCCTGCCAGCTGGGAGGTCACACAGCACCCTCCTGGGCTGGGGTCCTGGGGTGCTCTGTGGGATGGGGGGGATTGGGAAAAACCCATCAGTGTGGGGGCAACATCCCTCTCAAACTAGATTTGGGGGGGATGCCCACGCTTTGATGCTTCAGCAGAGGAGAACCAGCCGCCCACCCCCAGCAAAGGTGGGAATGGCATCAGGTGGGTGGGAGATGGGGCACCCCCTGGCCCCCCCAGCGCCTCACTCACCGCCGCTCGGCCCCGGGACTATACGAGCCCGTCGTAGAGGGAGAGAGCCTGCACGATGGAGGGGTCGGCCTTGGAGCCCTCCTGGAACTCCTGCAGCGTCAGCTTCCCGTCCGCGTTCTGCAAAACACTCCCGTCGCAGCGTCACCTTGCCCCGGTGAGGGTGACACCCAGCACCCCGACACCCAGCACCCCAGCAGCACCCACACCATCCCACACAGCCCACCACGTCACCCCACCTCCATTTCCCCATCAAACCACCCGTGCCTGCGGCCAGGGAGGGATGTCACGGAGGGTGAAAAGCCACCTCGGGGGCCCTGAAAGGGATACGGGGATTCCAAAGGGATGCAGGGGTCTGCAGTGAGCCCAGCAGCAGCTGAGCTTGTGTATTCACAAGGGAAGGAGGAACCTGCAAGAGATGCACCAAGGGGACCCACGACTGCCACCTAAACCCCTTGGCCCCAGGGAAAAAAAAAAAAAAACAAAACACTCAAGCATCCTCACCTTGTCCATCATGGCAAAAATCCGATCCACCCTCTTCTCCGGTGTGTTCTCCTCCTCAGGAAGCTCCACCGTGTTTCCCTGCAGCAACAGGACGGGACCTGGTGATGCAGCCCTTTGTGTCCTGCCTTGATGCTGTCTCCAGGTGAGGACACACGTTTTGCCCCTGCCCCTTCCCCTTCCCACACCAGGACAGGGTGCAGCGGGTTGGCATTTGTGCCAGAGCCATCCTCAGCAGCCAGATCCAGACCCTACCCTGGCCACGATGCCCACAACCCCCACCAAAAAAGCCCAGGGGAGGGAATTGGGGGTGCTTCAGCATCCTCCCCGCAGCCCCCCCTGCCAGCAGAGCCAGCAGAGACCCCCAGGGGCTGCCCCCCAGCACTTACCACCATCTGATAAATGGCATCCACAATGTCCAGCATCTCGTTCCTCGTGATGTACCCGTCGTTGTCCAAGTCGTACAGCTTAAACGCCCCTGCAAGCCAGAGCAACGCCGAGCTGCTTGGGACTGTGACTGTGTGTCCCCCCCAACGCCGGTCACACACCCCATCGCCACCCCCCTACCACCCCCGTCCCCTCACCGTGCCGGGGGCTGTGGGGCTGAGCCCACCATGCAGGGACCACTTACACCTCAGCTTCTCGTCCAGCGTCCCCCGGGAGGTGACCGACAGCGCCTGGATGAACTCCGAAAACTCGATCCTCCCGTCCTGGCGGGGGGAAGGAGGGGGTGAAGGTGCCGCTGCCACCCCCACCCCGCAAAGTCCCCCCCATTCCCAGGCGTGCCTGGACCCAGGCGCTCTCAGGGTCACATCTCAAGGCAGGGAGGGGGGAGAAGTGATGCCCGTTTATCTCCAGCAGCACCATCGGCCGCCGACACCGCGCATCCCGGCGGGACCGACTCCAGAACACGAGGTGAGGGAGAGGGGGGTTTGTCAGCAGCCCCAAAACATCTCCTTTCTCCTCTCTCCCGTGCCACTTCAGCTCCTTTTCCCACTTGACTCTCATCGACTAAAATAAGCGCGGGGGCTCGCTCGTTACAGCTGCGCTGCTTTAATTGCACGCCCCAGGAAGCACTGGAGTATTTTCCTCCTCCGGCGCCGCGCAGCCGCGTTACTGAACCCATCCCACCATCCCCACGGACCCAGCCCTGACCCCCCCACCCACCCTGGACCGTGCCCAAAAACTTACTTTGTTCTCATCGAAGACATTGAAAACAAAGGTGGCAAATTTAGTTGGGTCTCCGAAGGGGAAGAACTGCTTATAGATCTTCTGAAAGCCGGCGGCATCGAGCTGCCCGCTGGGGCAGTCCTTGATGAAGCCCTTGTACCTGGGGAGGAAGGGCAGGGATGGGCACCAGGTGGGTCTCCCCGCTGAATGCAGCCCCCCCAAGCCCTGGGGAGCTGGTGGGCTGGAGCCAGGAAGGTCCCCAGATGTTCTCCATGTCGTTCCCATCACCTGCCTGCAATCTCCCATCACCCATGGGATGAGGTCCCTGTGGGCACCGCAGCGAGGGTGGCAGGGGGAAGAGCCTGGAGAAGAATCAAGCAGTGCCCACCACGCTGCTCCAACCCCGCTGTGAGCCCATGTAGCAACCCAGCCACAACCAGGCTCCTGTTGAACATTGTCCAGGCCCTGGGAAGGGATGGGGACCCACCACCCAGCCAGGAGCACACGGGAGAGTCTTCTAAACCTCCTTTAAAATAAAAAGCCCTCTGCACAGAGTCACCTCCTGCCACCCGGCCACGCTGCAGGTGGAGGTGCCTCGCTCAGCCCTGAAGCCAAAGAGCGTTTACATCCCTTGCTCAGATCTTTGGACCCTTGCAGCTCCCAAGCAAGAAGGGACCAGAAAGCATCACCCCAAGGGCCAGAGCTCCCCTTCCCTCCACTGCTCCGGTGTGGCCCCGCTACATCGGGCACATCCGACCAGTTCTCCAGCTGGGAAAGCTCCTCCAGAGCCCTTGCACCTCGGACTCAGGATTGACAGCAACCCCACAGGCAATTTGCAACCCACGTGCTACAGCCGGGCTCCAGTAAAAACCAGCAGCACGGTGGCCCCAAGCACCTGGGGCAGCCGAGACCCCACAATTTCTTGCATGGTCCCAAGAGAAACCGGCTCAGAGGAGCTGGGGGACATGGTCACTGAGTCCTCAGGGTGGCACAGCCAAGGGCATCTCCCAAAACCCATTGGCATTTAAACACCCCCAAAGACCTTGGTCCCAGCTCCAGGCTGGATGGGGATGCTGCACAGTGCCAGCCAGGGGGGTGCAGGGGAAGGGGCTCACCGGCTCCACAGGTGCAGGGACCACACGGGGACCACACGGGGACCACATGGGGTGCGTGAGCATTATGCAACGTGTCGCCCAGATCTGTCAGGCGCCCGCTGCGACGGGCCGAGGGCTGGAGGAGGAGGGGAAGGGGGTGGCGAGGTGGGAAACCGAAGTGCCGGTGACATCTTTTTTCACGCTGCTGCAGCTATGACTCATCGGGGATTGGGGGGGGGGAAGGGGAAAAGGATGACAGAAAGAGATAAAGAAAGCAAACCTTGACTGGTGGGATTGGAAGATGAAAGGGAAGCGGTGGCTTTTCTAGGGCGTCGCGTTCGGTGGGGCGGAGGGACGGGGCGAGAGCGTGCTGCTGGTGAGCACACTGTCAGCCTCTGCTGCCAACGGGGACACGCTGGGACAGCACCAGCCTCCCCCTGGGATGGCCACGGCCACCAGCCAGACAGTCCCCTTGTCCCCACACCCCTCAGCCACCCATATGGGGAGGGAAGAGGTAAGAAAGGAGCATGACCATCCCACACGCGTGGCTGAGAGCAGCCAGAGCTGAGCCCCGCCATGCACCGGGCATGAGGTGTGCAGGAAAAAAACCCTCTATTTTCTGGTGTCCCCTCTCTGAGGTAACACCTGCACCCCAGAAGAGGAGCATCTCCTGTACCCCTTGCTCTGAACAGATTGCTGTGTGCCACCAGCTCCTGTCCCCTTGCCCACCACCCCCGTGCCCCAGCAGCTCACCAACACGCCGGCCACTCACCACTGCTGCACCTCCTTCTCCGTAACTGCAAGAGAAAAAACAGGGGAAAAGAGAAAAAAGACAAGAAAAAAAAGGAATTTAGCGCCTTCCCAGCAAGGGCTGGTGTTTTGCACTTCACATCAGTGACTTCCCTGGGGAATATGCCCCCGGGCTGGCTCGCTCCACACAGTGCCCTGTGGTACCCACATGCAAGGGGCTGCCTTGGAGGCACAGCCTGGGAGGCCTCCACCAGCCCGGAGGTTGATGGAGCCGGAGCTGCAGGCACTGGGATCCCTCCAGCTCCAGAACTGGGGACCCCACCAAAAGACGTTTTGCCAGGGCAGTGCAGCACCATCACTGCGAGATGCTATGGACCACCCCGGTTCATGTCTGGGGAGGATCTGCCCCCCACAGCCAAAACATCTCCAGAAACATCTGCCAAAACACCTGCCTGGAGGCAGCTCAGAGAAGGTACCTGCCCAGCCCCAACATCGACACACTGAACGTGGGCACAGGAAGAGCCCCCCGGGCCAGCATCCACCCCAGGTACCAGCTGCCTCTGAACAACAAGGAGAAACATCACCAAACCCATCCCAGGGCCCTGGGGAACTTTGCCAGGCTCCAGAGAAACCTCAAAACGTGACAACCTAGAAAAACAGTGAGCGTTGGCATCCCCGAGTGTCCCCAGCCTGGGGACAGCTGCTGAGATTGCAAATGTCCTCAGCAGAGAAAAGACTCCGAAGGGATGCGGGATGCCGGGGAGCCCAACAGGGCGAGGGGCTGGCACCCATCCCCGTGTGTCCCAGCACGCCAGCGGGGAGCCCGGTGCCAGCAGTGGGCACAGAGGGGGGGGAACAACCTCATTAGTCATTTCCTTTGCATCGTGCATCTAAATAATAATAAAAAAGCAATAGGTCTGAAAGGCGCTGGGATAATGAGGCGGAGTGGAGATGTGTCAATGTGCAAACGGCTGATAAAAATAGAGACCCAAGACACATCAACAGATGCCAATTACCTTGGATGGCAAATAAAAGAAAGCAATTTTCCATCAGAAAGACTGATAACGTGCCCGGGAGAAGGCGCAGACCACAGCAGGAGGGGGAACACACCAGCCCCCCCCCATCGCAGCCGGCCAAGTGCTGGCTCCTGCGTCCCCGTGGGCAGGAACCGCTGTGCCCGAGGCTGTCCCCATCCATACGGGGGGTCCCTCCATCACATCTTGGGGACTGCTGGAGGGACAGAGCCTTCCAAATCTCCCAGGAAGGGCTCGGCACAGGGCAGAGAGGCCAACAGCCTCTCCCCCAGCCTCCCCAGGGAGGTGGCAAAGGGCTGTGGTGGCCGTGCTGGGAGGTGTCTGGGTGGCAGCACCCCAAAAGTGGGAAGGCAGGCGAGGGGATGCTCAGCCCATGGGCTGAAGGACACAGAGGGCTTTGGCCACGCCGCAGGAGGGATTTGGAGGGTTGATCTGGCAGGAGATGAGCAGACAGGGGAAAGCACAGAGGAGCAGCCGGGAAGGACACACCACATCCAGCAGCTGAGCTGGGTCCGGCAAAAACAACAGTCCTGCCGGTCCCAAAGGATTCCCCATCCCCAAATGGAAGGAAGCATCTTTCCAAAAGCGAGATGCTGAATGATGTCTCTAATAGACAACAGGCTTCTCCACGCACGCTCCTCACAAGCATCGAGACACCAGCCAGGACCCCCACCCCAAGTTGCCAGGGGGATGCTCCAGGCACCATTTTTCAGCCCGATCACCTAGAGACACAGACGAAGGTGAGGAGGAGGAGGAGGAAGAGAAGGAGGAGGGTGAGTGGCAGGACTTCGGACACCCCATGGGGCAGGTGAAAGGAGCACCAGCACCAGCCCGGGGCTGCGGTGGGGGCTCGGCTCAGCCCCTTTGGGCAAATCATCTTCTGCTCTCTCTCTCTCTCTCTCTCGTTGAGCTGTGTTTCCCCCAACGTGCTATTTCAGGCCCAGGAGCTGCCTTTCAACTCCAGCAGGAAACAATTAAGAAATCTGTGCTTTTTTTAGTGCAGGAGAAACGCTGGTAACAACATGCTCGGGCTGGGGCGGGAAGGGAGGGATGGAGCCAGCTCCACTCGTGCCTGCAGGAGGGATGCGTGATGCTCCCGGGAGAGGCTTTTCCAATGGAGGGGACCTTCCAGGTGCCAGCCTGGAAACCAGCACGGGGCTCCCGAGGTGGGATTTATAGATGTGCATCTCTGGAACGGGGCCACGCAACGCCCGCGCTGGCACCGGTACCTTCCTCTTGCCCCATGGGCTTTGCTGTGGGGTGGAAACACAGCCCCATCTCCCAGCCTTTGGAAAACCACCCACGCCTGGGCGCATCCCTCCGCTGCCACGAAATCTTCCCTCTCCCCAGGGTAGAGTGTTCCCAGCACAGGGAAATCCCACAACCCTGAGCATGGTGTCCCTGCAGTTGGGGCTGAGCCGGTACCTGCCTCCCCGTATCCACAGCTCCGGATCCCAGACGGAGGGTGACTTCCCGGCTGCCACCTCCAGCCGCTCCGACCTCGCTGGGTGTCGACACTCCGGGTGGCACCGATTCAGGATGCTAATGCCCATCCCCACAGCAGGGACCCGTGGCCATGGAAGCCTTGGGGACACGTCACTCTCCCGGCTTGGCTGAGCCATCTGTCCTGGGGCTGGGGACAGGGGACACCCCCAGGGGACAGGGCTGTCCCTCTGCTCTCCCCTATCCATCCTCCGCAGCTCGAGCCCGGAAAGTACCTGTGCGACGGCGGCTGCTGCATTTCCCTTCCCCGGCATCGATTGTGGCGCGATGCTGAGCCCATGCAAATCAATTTGCAGCGCTATAAACCTCAGCCAGGTTTGACCCCGAGCACTCAAGGACAAGGGGACAACCAACAGCAGCCCCACTGCAGCATCCCGGCTCCCTCGCCGTGCCAGGGCTGGGGCTGGGCTCAGCCACCCTGCCATGCCCCCCAAGGACCACCGCCGCTGTGGGGAGGGCTACAAATAGCACACAGAGCGGCTTGATAGTGGATGCAGCGTGTCCTGGGGTCCTTGGGGGATGAAAGGCACTAAATAAAGGCAGGGTATGAGCGTTGGTTATGAACCGCAGCGCCGTCACAGGCATCGCCGAGCAGGGAGCCCCGGCTACGCGCCGCAGACACCCTCCCCTATGTCCAACCCTGCACGGCAGCATCCTTGTTCCTGCTGCTCTTTGTGAAGTGTGGGGAAGGCAGAAGCAGGCAGAAGCAGGCAGGAGGAGCAGGCAGGGGCAGGCAGGAGGAGGAGGCAGGAGGAGGCAGGAGGAGGCAGGAGGGGCAGGCAGCAGGAGCAGGCAGGAGGAGGCAGCAGGGGCAGCAGCAGGAGGCAGCAGGAGGCAGCAGGAGAAGGCAGGAGGAGCAGGCAGGAGAGAAAGGCAGGAGAGAAAGGCAGGAGAGAAAGGCAGGAGAGAAAGGCAGGAGCAGGCAGGAGGAGCAGGCAGGAGGAGCAGGCAGCAGGAGGAGGCAGGAGGTGCAGGCAGGGGGCTGCATGTCCTGGTGCCACCTGGGGATGCTGGCCCTGGGCATGGGTGCTGTGGGATGCAAGGATGAAATATCCATGTCAGGAGGAGAACTGGGACAGGGACATGACCTGGGGACATTTTGGGGGAGCTTTCTGTGGGAGGTGGTGGAAGTGAAGAGCGGCAGAGAAGGCAGGAGCAGGCAGGAGGAGGCAGAAGGAGGCAGGAGGAGGCAGGAGCAGGCAGGAGGGGCAGGCAGGAGGAGCAGGCAGAAGCAGGCAGCCCAGGAGTTGCCCCCCATGGCCAAGCCACGGGCCCTCGCTGCCCCCTTGGCAGCACCGATGGGTCCATCCCCGCTCCCGTCTCCGCTGGGAGGAGGGTTTTTGGCCGCACGTCCCACGCAGCACAGAGGGGCAGAGACCGCCCGACGCAGGCCCCAGCCCCCTCCTTACCCCAAAAACTCCCCAACCTCTTCTCTTCCCCCCCACCTTTCCATCAATCCCCGCCGGCACAGGCGAGGACTGACAGCTCTGTCACCACCCGCCCTTCGCCTGCCCCCTCTCTTCCCACCACCCAGCTGCCACTGCAGCAAGAAACAGCTCTGGTTAATCAGTGCTCAAGCCCGTTAATTTGTGTTTGCCAGGCAGCGAGGAGAGGAGGGACCCAGGGCTGCAAATCCCTGACCACTGCCCTGCCCGTGGAGGAGCTCGCTGGAGCGCAGAGGGAATCAGCAGCCCCACGGAGAGCAGGAGATGGGGCTGGATTCGGAACGGTTTGGGGACCCCTGGTCACAGTGGGATGTATGAGGTGACACGATGCTCCAGGTCCACAAGGGGTTTGGTTTTTTTTTGTGCTGCCACAGGCACCACCGCCTTATCAGGGAAACCAGGGTTAATTATTTCCAGGCACAAAGAGACTCCCCCACCACTGCAGGCCACTCCAGCTCTGCCAGAACCCACAGGTGACTGGTCCAGCATCACCCACCGAGGCACGGCAGGGTCGGTCCTGGGGCATTTATTTCCCCCAGGGCCTTGCTGAGGCTCCTTCCCAGGGTCCCCCCAGGTCCCCGCGCATCCCAGTCTTGAGATCACCCCGCGCTGGGGCTCCCCTCTGGGTTTGGGGCTGCCTAATGTGGCCAGCTTTGGAGTCCTCAACACAGAAAGGACATGGACCAGCTGGAATGGGTGCAGCGGAGGGCCACGAAGATGATCAGAGGGATGGAGCACCTCTGCTATGGAGACAGGCTGAGGGAGCTGGGATTGTTCAGCCTGGAGAAGAGAAGGCTCCAGGGAGACCTTAGAGCAGCCTTTCAATATCTAAAGGGTGCCTACAGAAGAGCTGGGGAGGGACTCTTTGCCAGGAGGTGTAGTGATAGGACAACGGGAAACGGTTTTAAATTGGAAGAAAAAAGATTCAGATGAGATCTCAGGAAGAAATTTTTTTCTATGAGGGCGGTGGGACACTGGAACAGGTTGCCCAGAGAAGCTGTGGCTGCCCCATCCCTGAAGGGGTTCAAGGCCAGGCTGGATGGGGCTTGGAGCAACCTGGTCTGGGGGGAGGGGTCCATGGGCAGGGGGGCTGGAACTGGATGATCTTTGAGGTCCCTTCCAACCCAAACCATTCTGTGATTCTATGATTCTAAACCTGCTGTGGATGCTCAGAAGGCGGCAAATTGGGCACCCATGAGTGGGTGCTCCCACGTGAATTAATGGGGCACTCGTGCACCCGCTAACTGGGCACCCATGCCCGAGCTGGATGGGCACTCATGCAAGAATAAACCTGGTGAGCATGCATGGATTAACCGGGCACTCCTGCATCAATTATCTGGATGCTCCTAGGTGAACTAATTGGGTGCTCATGCATGATTTCATGGGGTGCTCATGCGTGAACTTGTGGGGTGCTCAGGCGTGAGCAGAAGGGGCGTTCATGCGTGGGCCAGCTGGTCACTCATGCATAAATTTTTTGGGCAGTCCTGAATTTATCAGGCGCTCATGCACGGACTAATGGAGCACTCACGCGTAAATTCACTGGGCACTCCTGCGTGAGCTAATTGGGCACTCCTGTGTAAATTAGTGTAATTAGTAGATAGCACACTTGTGCATGTACTAATGTGTGAATTAGTGTAATTAGAAAATGACACACTTGTGCACGTACTAATTGGGCACTCAGGTGTGAGTGGATCAGGTGCTCATGCATCAACTAATTGGACTCTGAGGCATGAACTGATTGGGGGCACACGCACCAATTAATTGGGTACCCATGCATCACCTAACAGGGCGCTCATGCACGGACCAGCGTGCGATCCAGCGCAAATTAAGGGGGCACCCATGCATCAATCAACCGGGTGCTCGTATGTAAATTAATTGTGCGCTCGTGTGTGTATTAATTGGGTGCTCATGCGTGAAGTTATTGGGTGCTGATGCGGAAATGACTGGGGAACTGATGCATGAACTACCCGGCCCCTCATGCGTAAAATCCCGCCGTGCTCCGGGGTGAACCCCGCACACCCTGCAATTTATGCCCAACACACTCCACCCCTCGCCGCCGCAGAACACATATTTAAGGATTGTCTGAACATAAATCTGTTACAAACTCCGCTTTCAACATCATCACAACATTAATATTCACCAATTATGAGCTCCCCTCTCCTTCCCTCCCCACCGGGCGGGTGATGGGGCTCAGCAGCATGAGCATCCTCACTCGAATTGCACTCCTTCCCCCCAGGACCCAGATTTGGGGGTCAGCATCACCACCCAAACAAACACCCGCTGCAGAATTAGCCCTTGGTCCCCACTGAGCCACCCCAGGGCTCAGAACAGCAGTCTGAATGGGTACAGGACCACCCAAACAAACACCCGCTGCAGAATTAGCCCTTGGTCCCCACTGAGCCACCCCAGGGCTCAGAACAGCAGTCTGAAGGGGTACTCACTGCAGACCTCACACCTTGCTCTTCCAAACATGGACCCAAGAAGGTCCCATCACTCGGCACAGACGGACCCATCCCCAGCACCAGCCCCTGGCCCTGCAGAGCAGGTTACCTGGGGTACCCGCATCATAACCCGAAGAGTTACCACCAATTTCAGGCCCTGTCCCTACACAACACGTAGCCAAGAGCACTGCAGCAGCTTGAGCTGCTGGAGGTACCAATGAGTGCAGTAGCTGCGGGGCTTCATCCAGCCCCCAAACGGGAGCTGGGCAGCATCCCCTTGGTGCAGAACAGACATCTCCCTGTGGGGCTGTTCAGGACCACCTCGGCAGCCTGGGCTGGTGGGTGCCTTTGTGCAGGCTGGGGAGGGGGAAGTACCTGCTGGCCCTCAGGGACGGCTGGAGGGTGGCCACGAGACTCCCCCAACCCCTGCACCAAACCCCCTGCTTGGAGCCCAGTGCCTGCAGGAGCAGCACTGAGCGGGGAGCAAGGGGTGAAAATACCCCCCAGGCTGCCACAGGCTCATTTCCCCCCCCCAAGGCCATCCATCACCCCATCTTGGGGCATCTCAGAGCTCACACGGGTCTCCATTCGGTAACTTCTAAGCTGCGACGCACGTCAGCACTTTGGAAATTTGGGTTACTCGGCCCTGATGACTTGGTCTCATTAAAATTCAGGTTTAACGCCATAACCAATGTCCTGGTTAAACATTTCCAGGCGCACTGTCCTCCTGCCCTCCAGCAAGGCTCAGTCCCAGCCCCGGGGCCATCAGATCACCCCAGGGTCAGGGTTTCTTCCCTCTGCCAGTCCAGCACAGGGCCAGCTTTGGAGAAGCAGCATGAAAACACAACCCCTGCTGCAGCACTGGGGTCACCCCCCATGGAAACAACCACGGCAAGAGCCCAGAGATGACCAGCAGCAGCTTGCCCAAACCACTGTGCCCCTGTCTCAGCCCCACACACCCCATCAATGCCCAGTCCCCACTCCCAGCCGCATCACCCAGGCACCGGGCCATGCCGAAATCTCGGTAGCCAAGGGAAGGATAGAGCAGCGGGGCAGGGGTGTCCCCCTTTGTCCCCGTGCAGGAACCCATCCCTGCAACACCCCATCGCAAAGGGACATCGGAGCGACACAGCCGGAGCTGCCTACCTGCCGGAGAAGGATGGGGGATCACCCCAGCTCGCCCATCTCCCCCTGCACTTGCCCAGTTTGGCTTCTCTCCTCCCTCCATCAGACACGGGCATCGCCAGCATCCCGGCGGGTCCGGGAGCTGCCGAGACGTTGGGAGCACGAGCCCGACAGTGTTATTGGTGTCATTTGTTACTGCTGAGATACGGAGCAATACGTGGCGAGAACTGCGTGTGCGTTTGGCACTCTCCTCGCCGGCGGTTGCCATTAGTGGTCTGTCTCGCTCCCAGACTGGATAAACAGGTCCACGAGCAGCTCTGTTCTCGTCTCCCCCGAGGCTGGTACCGACAGGAAAGCCAATATGCAGTTAAAATCCTTTTTAGACTTTATTAAATATTTAAGGGCCCGACATTAGGCTCTGGAAATCGGGTTCGGGGGAAAAAAAGCAGCAGTCGCTCTTTGCAGCAAAGGCAGCGGAGGAAGGGCAAAGGACAGAGCCCTCGTTTGGAAATGAATGAATCAGACTGAAACACGCTCACAGCAGGAGCCGGTGGCTGCAGCAGGTCTCTCCCGGGCTGGATTTAATCTCAGCTTCCCCACGAGCCAGCACAGTGATGCCCCACGGCAGGGCAGAGCATCCCCAGGATGCAGGGAGCAGGGATGGAGCAGCCCTGGTCGTGCTGGGGGGACAGCTGTGTCCTGCCGCCCCTGCTCTATCCTCCCCTTGGCTACCGGGATTTCGGCATGGCCTGGCTCAAAGGTGCTGTCCCCAACCCTCGGAGGGGTTCCTGCCCTAAGCGTAGGAGAAAGGTCCCCTCCAGCCCCAGCGCAGACAGGGGAAGGGAAGTCCCTGTGACTCAGCCATCAGACCCTGGAGCCAAGAGAAGGTCAGGAGGACGCTGCAGGGCAAAGCCTCGCTGGCAGCGGGTAAAGCCTCTGCCCACTCCCTGTGTCACCCACCAGGATGGGGCCATGCCAAGGGCTGACAAAGCAGAAGGTGCTAGAGGCACCAAACACTCGCTCCTCCATGGGGAGCAGCACCCAGGGCATCCCCATGAGATCTAGCCACCGATCGAGAGACACTGGAGAAACCCGGGTGGACGACGCACAAACAGCCCTCGTTCCACGTGGAAACCAAAAACATGCCTTGAAGGGAGAACCTCATGCAGGAGATGTGGGGAGCAGGTCATGGAACCATAACGTCATAGAGTTGTCTAGGTTGGAAAGGACCTTTAAGATCATCAAGTCCAACCATCAACGTAACACTGAAAAACCATCACTAAACCATGTCACCAAGCACCACCGGGCTGGGAAACCTGCAGCAGCCACTGAGGAACCACAGCAGGGGTCACCATGCCCCAGGCTGAGCACCCCCCAGCCACCCCAGTGCTCGGGCAGCAGGGGTGGGGGTACAGACCCCGCTCCATTTCCCATTCAGTTCCCTAGAAGACCTCGGAGGCCGAGGAGGGGAGGGAGGAACAAAGGAACCCTACAAATGTCACCCCGATAACGGAGTGAGCGCGTCCGCGGGCTCCTCCCTGGAGCAGCCGCTTCCTTTGATGCCTTTGGAGCTTCTTGTTTCACAACCTTAATTATAGCGGCAGCAGCAAAGGTCAGGAGAGTGGTTAAGCAGATCCATTAACATGTCAGGGGATAAATGAAATGTGATTCTTCTGATGCCGGAGCGGCAGAGGCAGCGGCACGAGCGCGGCCGGCAGGGATGGCTGCTCCGCTCTGCCGCAGAGGGAGCACGAGGAGCCCGAGGAGCCCTTGGCCACGTCTTCCCCTTCCCGACCCAGCACTGCAAACACCTCCCAGGGACCACAGGGACCCCCCAAAACCTCCCTCAGTTGCCTTTACCCACAGAGCATCAGGTCCATGTACAGATGGGATACCCAGATATGAGACTGCAGGTTGGGGTCTCCCTGGGGAAGGGGGTGGAGGTGCCTCCAGACCCACCACAGCCCTCCGGAGACAGCACACCAGGTCCTCATCGAGCTGCTCCACAGCTGCCACCTCCACGGCTCTGGGTTACACGTGGCTGCAGTAAAAACAGACCCCAAACAAAAGCCAGCCCCAGCGCATCCCTCCAGTGGGTCCTACCCATTGCCCTCCCTCGATGCCTCCTGGGGACCCCAGACCCATTCCACTCCCCTCTCCCCAGCACAGCTCCAGGTTGCTGGGTCAGGTGCCCTCCTCTTCCCCCCAAAACTTCCCTTTTGGGGTCCTCCAAATCCTGTTTCACTCTGAGGGGGCTCGGAGCAGACAGGAGTGCTGGCTGGCTCAAGCAGCCCGGAGCAGCGCACAGCTCGGCATCCCGGCACCCCGCTCCCAGGAACAGGTCCCATGGGGCTCCCCCACCCCGGTGGGATCGTGCCCACCAGCTCTCAGCCCCCGGTGCCAGTGGGGTCGAGCAGAGCCAAGGGGCAGGGGGCTGGCAGGGAGCACGGGCAGTTCCCCCACCCAGGCAGGGAGATGCATTTTGGGGCTTTCACCCATCGCTCGCCGCCGAGGGATAAAGGGGTGTGTAACCCCCTGGGCCAGCTTGCCCTGCTTTCTGCTGGATGAGCAAGGGATTTCAACATGAACCAACCTGGCAGAGAAACCCAGAGCCCGGGGCCAAACATTTTGGAGGCTAAAAATAAATCAGCAGCAGGGAGCCACCGAGGTCCCTCCCCTGCTCCCCCGGTCCCTCCGCTCCTGCCCTCCGCCCCGGGTGGCACAACAGAGCCAAACCCCAACCCAGTGAGGAACTGACCCCTCGTCCTGGCCCAGAGTCACTACACTTGGAGAATTTTCCTTCCTTTCCCACAGAATTCGACCCTCCACGATGCACCCCCGTAACTACAAATCAATATGTTTGTAGTTTGCTCTTAAACTGATGCCCATTAATTCAACGCGTTACTGTCGAGCAGCAGAGCCAATTTTGCGGCTTATTGTAAAAGAGCAGAAAAAAAGTGACGATGCCAAAGTAGAGTTTGAAATCCACAAAATAGATCACAGTGGGTGGGACGTGGTTCTTGGGAAAAGAGCATCTTCCTCTCCCCACACCCACTCCGCAGCCTGGGTCTCCCAGTGCCGGGGGGGAGGTCATTTTGGCACCCTCACTGCTGCTCCCACCCCTTCATCGGAGCCTCACCGAGGCATCTGGACCACCAGGACCACCAGCCCGACCCCGCAGCAGGTCCCAGTAGTGATGCTGCTGCACCTGCAGGGCTCCAAGCGCACCCGATTGCATGGCTACTGCAGCTGGCATTAAAAAAAAATTTAAAAATACAGTTTTAGTAGCTCTGGACTTGAGAAATGGCTATGAGAAATGAATCCTGAAATCCAATCCCCCCCCCTCAAAATGACTAAAAAAAGAAGAGATAAAATATACTCTTCTGGAATAACCTCAAATTTTTCAGGATGATTTTAAGGGTTGCCAGCGCTGTGGCCACTGCTATATGAGCACTGCTATAAGCAGGGCTGCTCAGCACCGCATTTCTCTACCAATTCCTCTACCAGGGCTCCACGTCAAGCCTTTTCCACCCATGACACATATTCTGCACCCACAACCACACACGAGAGCTTCACCTGGGCTGTAGGTACCCCAGGACCCACATCAATCTCCAGCGTCGCAGAACCCTTTGACTGCGGCCCCACAAGGTTCTTAAGCACAATCCCAAATCCCACCTGAGCCATGAGCCACCAGCACCCGGCCCACATTAAGCCCAGGATTAAATCCCCGTGGAAGAGGGAAGACAGTGGTTCCTTCGAGTCTCAGGCGTTATCACCTCCCGGGACAAAACACACAGGGGCCAAAACCGCATCTCCGAGCTACCTCAGCAGGGCATCGGGAAGATTAATAAATTAATGATTCTAAAGCACCTCGAGAGATTTTTTGGATGAAAGGCTCTATGGAAGCACAAAGAATTACATAATTTATTATTCATTATTGTTCTCAGCACAAAGAATTACATAATTTATTATTCATTCTTGTTCTCAGCGTTGGCTTCTCCCGCACGCTCCTATAGGGCACCGTCCTGGCCTCTGAGGAAGGTTAAACCCTCGCCCCACGGCCGGGCTCTCCCCGCCAGCACCTGGCAGACAGGGGAGCTCAGCACTGCCAGATACTCCCGGGCACTCAGGTGCCCAGAGATACTGAAAGGCACGCGGTGATGGGTCCAAATCAACAGGAATTGGGCAGCCAGCACTTCGAAGAAGCCCTCGAACGTCCTTCTGCGCCTCGAGGTGTCCAAGTGCCATTAAAATCTGGCCCCCGGCACCGTTAAGTCAGGAACGGAGTGGGAAGGGGAGCCAAGAGACAAGGTTTCCAGGCTCCTGACCTTCTGTATCCAGTTCCCGGCAGGACCTGGGACAACCTGCTCTGAATATCTGCAGTAGGATGATTCTCGCATCTCAGGGAGGTTGCTGATGGCAACCCTGCAGCATCCTCAGCACGACCACCCTGCCCACCATGGCCTGGCACGTGAGCTCCTCTCCCGCCTGCTCCCACTGCCTGCTTGCCCCAGGATCGCTGCTACCAAGGCACGGCCAGAGAAATGCCAAAAATAGGAGATGGAGAGACCAGAGGGGACAGGAGACAGCAGCCAGGGGACACAAGAAGCCACCAGGGGACATGGCAGGGGTTGCGTGTCCTCTGCAGTCCCACAGATGTGATAGATCTGTACAAAAGCTGCACAGGGCAGGGAGAGGGGGTGAAGTCTCCCCGTCCCTCCGATCCCAGAGGAACCAAGAAGTGGCTTTTCATTATTTGCTTCGTTTTGTTTGGAAATTGCACAAACAGAAAACGATGCGATGGAAGGAAATCCCATGGTGGGAGAAACCCTTCACGTATCGCAGCCAGGGGAATATCCCTGGGACAAAAGCGGGTCCTCCCATCATTAGTGGTCAGTTCCAGGCTCCTAAAAACATCTGCCCAGATGTGCTGTAACAGCAGCACAAAGCACCATGCAGGAGGCAGGGCCAGGGCCTGCTCGGTACCGTGGCAGCCAGCAGGTGGGAAGGGCAGCCAGGCACTGGGGATGCTCTTCTGAAGGATGCTCATCACCGGTCCACCAGAAAGATGCCAAAATACCACAGCACCGCGGGGCAAAACCTCCCCAAAGCAGACCCCCAGACATTGTTGACTATGCCATGGATTCGGGGGTACGGCTACCCCCTGCTCGAGCTGGTCCACTAGCCAGGGCACAGGGATCTGGGTCAGCCCTTGCCCCTGCACCCAGTGCAATCCTCCCTGCATCTCCTCTGCCCGG